AAATTCATTAGCAGTCATTAATGATTCAAATATTATAGCAGAATCCATATCTTCGAAAGAAACTATTCCACCATAAAGAAAGACGCTGGCTTTCAACACATGACAGCTTTATCTTTTCATTAAAGAACGGTGGTAATTCTATTTTAAGTCGAGTAGCAATGTCAGATCGGGCAATTTGGCATAATAGTATAGATTTTTATGGACCACATTTTGGTTCTGAAGATCTTGCTATGTTAGGTAATTTTCATAACGAAGAAAGATGTTTCTGTCGCTTTAAATATTATGCTAAACCGATCAGAAATACAATTGCTAAATTTTCAGTTGATGAATACGAAGTATTTCAACTTCAAGATATAGAACTCTCGACACATGACTTTGGTGGATCAATTGATTATTGAAAAGCTTGTACACGATTATATATTAACTGAAAAAGTTGTTTTATTTGTAATAGTTATACAGTACATTGATAATTTAAAAACGTAACCAATAAATTGAGCTTGTTTATAAAACATACACCTGAAAAGAACGAATTTTCATTTAAAATTTGGCTTGCTTTCAAATACCAGTACTTGCGATAAAAGAACATCGTTTGCTTTTATAATAAATTGGAATTTATTATTTATATCTTAAAAAACACGCTACACAATATCGATATAATACACTACGTAGGTATTTAATATAGATACTTATAAATAAATTATAGATATTTCACTAGTGTAAAACCTAAAGCAAATAATAATAATAACCATAATAATTATAATAATAAATAATTTTACTCTAAATCTTCATCATTATCCTCTGACAATTTCAGAGCATTTTCGATATCATTCCATGCATCTTTAAAATTCCCTTTATCTCTATAGACAGCACCACGTTCACATAATGCAAAAATGTTCTTAGGATCATTCATTAATGAACCATCTAAATCCTTCAAAGCATTATCATAATCTTTATTATTTCGATGTATTGATCCTCTATAACATAATGCGAGCGCATTATATTTTTTTTTTATCATTTATTATCGGTTCATCACTATCAATTTCCA